AACATTTGCCCGTGCTCAGTGGTATACCGATGAGTATAATACAGTTATATTAAGCGGTACTCAAACAGATAAAACTCATATTTTTACAATGTTCACAACGTTTACATTAATAATTTGGATATTAATACTAATGTCACTAATTATTTTAACTATTGTTAAATATATAGACAATAAGCTTCATGTAAATAAAGGTATTTTATATAAAATATATATTATTCTCTTAAAAATATATAATATTTATTGATATATATATAAAACATTATAAACAAAATATTGAATTCACTCTATCAACAGTATATTACAGTATATTGAATTCACTATACATTTATTGTTTAATTGTAATTAATTTTAGGAAACAAAAGCCTGCTAGACATATTGTGGCATTTATGTAGGTATATCATAAATCAAAGTCAACGAGAGTACCTAGAAGAAATTGTGGGAATTAATGCCTGGATAACCAACATGTGGTCATTTATGGTGTTAGTCTTATTGATGTATTTTCAAAGCCAAATCCTTGTCTCAATAGTCCATCAAAACATACAAACAATTAACTCATTGCAAGAGTTGGTGGCATCGGATCAAAGGGTTTTTGTGGCCAATCAGTCCAACGTGTGGTGGGATATCAAGAACTACTTGAAATGGGATTCACCAATAAATGAGCACCTGGAGATCATATACAAAATGGACAGGGTCACTTATATAGATGATGTGCACACTACTTTAGATGATATAAAAGTATATTTAAAATATTTTTAAAATATATTTTTGAGTTCAAATTAAAGTGACCGCTATAACTTTTCTGTTTATTTGTATATTTTGTTCAATGTAAATCTATTTAATACTTAATGTAGATTCAATTAGTTAGGTTTTTCCATATTAATGCTACTCATATAAAAAGTTATAGCGATTTAATTTTGACTCGAGCATATTTATTTCTAAAGTTTTTATTTTATTTTGCAGAATATTATGCGACAAATATCTGACAGAAAATATACATTTCTAAGGGATGGCGAGTCTATAATCAATGTATTTATGCTTAATTTGGAGCTATTATTAAACATTGGAAGTGAGAAATACTCGCCAATACTTTTGGGACACCCTATTAATAAGGAGCCCACCGAGGGTCGGACCCATGTATTTAAAATGTAATTATTAAACAATGAAATTACAACAATACATGAAATTATTATTATTTCTTAAATAAATACAGAATCAATAGATTAGTGGAGACAGGGATTCATACGAGTTGTAGGGATCGACTCGATTTTTATCAAAAAATTTTTGGAGACCATGTGTTGTCTGATAATTTAAAATACCTGGATAAATATACAAAGAGATATATTGATATGCACTCCAATACTAATAGCGTTGATATTATTAAACTTAATTTTATTGGCGATTTGTTTACATCAATGTATGCTATGGCTTGTGTAATAGTAATTGAGTTTATAATAGAAACTTTTATTTTTAAATACTTAAAACAATAATAGTATTAAATACGATGCAATAATATTTTATTAATAATTTAAACTTTTATTAACATTAAATTAATTTATTGATTTACATTCTGTTTGCTGTATATACATAATAATAAATAATAAATAAATAATATTTATTTTAATAATCTTAAGGTTATATACTGTAATAATATTTTATACATAATAATTTTTTAATTCAATTATTAGGTTGATTAAATTAATTAAATATTATTACATTTTAACTAATAACAAGCTGTTTACTTAATGATAATATAGATTTCTATTATAGTGTAATATACTGATAAAATATATTATGTTAAAATAATGATTAATAAGGTTTGTATTAAATGATATCATTTTTGGCATCTGTATCATCCATTAACTTCCGTATGTATGGAAGTATAGAATGCGGGGCATTACAGTCGGGCACCTGTAGCTCACCGCTCATCAGTAGCTCCTTGTGGTCGATACAGTGCTGAGCGCACTGTTGGCCCAAAAAGTACTGGCCGTACATTGATTTACATTGACCACAGTTCCTGTTATGGGATAACATTTTAATTACAGTACTATTAAAATGATTTAATCTTTTAGAGAGAGAGAGAGAGAGAGAGAGAGAGCGAGAGAGAGAGAAGCATATGTTACAAAATACAGGTAATTTAAAATGTTTATACACTTCAGTATTTAGTTATAGATAGTTACCAATCAATACATACATAATACAAAGTCTTATGCGATCAATGGGTACGTTTGACACGACATTCATTTGATAGCAAACTGTAAATATCAAGATTACGCACACAATTGACTTCATTGTTATCTTATCAGCGATATAATCTGAATAACTAAAACTTTATATAAGCTTACTTTCACTACACACTCGCTATTAATATACTATTTTGTTCAAAGATATTGACAACAAGTTATATTAAAAATATGACTCAAAATAAAATTCTTGACTTAATATAGTGTTTCAGGAGTTATTTAAGATAATAAAATGTAGGACTTTATGAACAAAATTTACAAAAATATCTTTTAGTATATTATTGTGCAGTGAAAGGACTTCATATTATACTTGAATATAAGAAATTACTTATTAAGTAAAGTATTTGAAAGACATTTTTGTCGTAAATATAATGTAAGACAATGTATATTAGCCTTAATATTACTATCGATTGAATTCCGGCTTTCAATTCATATCTCTGTATCCGAAAAGTTATAATAAAGTTATTTTTCATTTGTTATATTCATATGCTTTTATCAAAAAATAATAATTCGCACTTAATATGACATTTTAAAGTGAAATTAAATTAAATTAATATTATATTTTATATTCAATAAATAATTTTCTAAAAGTTTTGCACATTTAAATATATTTGCACTTTATTTGCAATTAAAGTCTATATTAAATTTTAAAATGTAATAAATTTTTTGTGTCATTTATTGAAAAACTTTTTTAGATTTTATATTTTATAGGATCTAAAAATAAATATCTTATTTTGCTTTAATATGAAATAATTATTAAAATTTAATATCAAAATAAAATGAAATACGGTATATTTATTACACTGTAATAATCCTATTTAAAACATAAAAAATTTAAATTTCGTTACTATTATAAGACTATTTTGAAAAACATCAAATATTTATTTAAATATATTAATTGTTACAGATCTGAGAAATTAACTATTTAAATATTGCTCTAAAATTAACATATAAAAGATGCTAGATAAAATATGTTTATAATACATGTTTCTGACAAAATGAATAAATTAAATGTGATAATGAGAAATAGGCAACAGGTTAAAATTATATTGCATTATATTGTATGCAATATTTTGTATCAACAAAATCATATTAAGTAATTTAAAAAATTAATTTACGGCAAATCAATTACCGGTCAATATAAATTTATATATTGTATTTTGGTGCATGTATAGTACGGGGAAATATTTTAAATATAAACTGAGATCAAGGCAAAATTACAAAGTGAATTATTGTAATTGATAAAATAGTAAAAGCATTGTGAATTTTACTGCATTTGCTTTTATTAACAATTATTTCACTTTACTACTACTTTTAGCATTAATATATAAATTAAGTTATACATTATTCTCTAAAGAATATATGAATTATAAAAGATATTTGCAATAATAATATCCACTCATTGTAATTTATAAGTAATTTTATTATTACTAGGAATGAATAAATATTGGGTTTATAATGTGTATTTATATGTATTTATGTGTACGTACTGAATGAAACACAAATTGTATTAATAGTTTACAAGTAATCTATTAGTAATAATTTTTGTTTGACAAAAATCTCATCAAGTGAATTGAATTTATTTTATTTTATAAAAATATTCATTATTAATGATTCAAAATTGGTACAAGCTTAGTAAATAATAAGACACATACTGTAGTTTTTAGATAAAATATTTAAGTTTATTATTTAGAGATTGTTATGCCTTACAGAAAGCCTATCAAGTTAAATGAATCCAGGTATGAGAATATAAACTTAAAATGAATTTTCAATGCATTCATAAATATTGTGACAAAAGTAATTATTTGTAAAAATTACTAATACTTTATAATATTTGAGGGGTCATTCATTTAATGCATACCCACTTTGTTTCATTCCTAATTATTACATCTATAATTATAAATTCTTAATACGTTGAAAATATAATAATAAAATTATTTATTAAATGTACTGTGTAACTTCTCATATTGTAACATTCGTTTAAAACAATATAAATTGTAGTGACTCATTTGCGTACCTTATACAAATATATAGTTTAAAAACATATCGAAAAACGATTGAAATAATTAACATTTGTTTGTTGATCTGGGAGAAATTTGATAATTTACGAACTAAAATTGCACTATTCAATATATATATATGAAATATAGTAAATGAAGCAAGGAATGAATCTATTTATCATTATAAAAATCAATTCATCGATTTATTAAACATATTTTTTATAATACTGCATTACGTCAATTAACCAAAGGCTATAACATAAATTTATAAATAATACTGTAATTGAGTTCATTTAATCAAATCAATTGGTACGATAAGATTGGGGAACATATTTTAAACCGGGTAGGCTTTTAAAAATCCTTGAAAAGTACCAAGTGCTTATTGTTCTTTGAAGGCTATTGTAAAGATTCAGTCTAATAGATTACGATTAAAGGTATTTTTAGTTCTCATTGATAACTGTTTAATATATAAGTAATAAAAAGTTTGAGAAAATCATTTTATTTAATTTAATATTAGACAAAACAAAATGTTGTCTAAATTAGTATTAGCCGCCGTTTTAATTGTGTAAGTATTTAATATAATTTAATATTTGAACAAGTATAATTTTCATGGATTTCAAATTTCTAATTAAATCTAATTTTGTACGAATATGTTGGGCACCGGCAGCTCGATCGAGGGTC